TTTGTCTGTAGCACCGTTGTCGTCAAAAGCCTTATGGCTCATTCATTGCTATAATTATTATCGTCGTCGTCATCGTCGTTGCCGTCGTAATGATTGTTTATGTAATAATTTCCTTTCGTTTCTCATGTAACAACTTATACCCTCGACACTCCACAATTCCCCCAACGAGGTGGAGGTTGCCATTCATATACATATACCTTTCCTTCTTTTTTTTTCAATAATTTCCTTCGTTTGTTGTTGTGTTTATTATGTTGTGTATTGTGAATAAAACAATTGGGTCATATTGAAATTTTACGATCCTTTCAATTAGTAGACCCGAAATGTTATGGGTTAAAACATTGTAAGTAATATATAATACATACATAATATATAATATGTTCGTTTTCCTATATGTTATGTGTTTACGCAATTTATGAGTTTGTCTCATTTTGTTATACTCAGATATTGCTGAAAATTAATTAACGAACAGTTAATTGGATTTATACAGATATATAAAATTTATCTTTTTCGCTAACGGTACAAGTCATAGAAAAAATTTTTCGTATTCGTTACTGAGATGAAGTATATTCATTTGATTTTAATAAGTCATGCGAGGTAAATTTTTCCTTTTCTTGGTTTGTCTTGTTCGTCGTTTTCTTCTTGACTGAAACGACTTATATGGAAAGAGAAACACAGTAGAGGTGTTGCTTGTGCACTTTACGGAAGTTCTCTCACCGAAGGAAGGGGGTATATTGACTTTGTTGAAATGTTCGCATCTTCCAGAAAGAAGCATCAGAGACCTCACAAAATATATATGTTCTTGATCAGCATCAAATTGTAAATCGATTTAAGCATGTCCGTTTGTCCGTCTTTGTAGTGTCTGTTGTAAACATTCTGTTGGCCGCAAAAATAAAGCTACCAACTTCAAATTTAGCAGAAGCATTCGAAGTTCTTGCACACAGGTTGGTATTGAAAATAGGCCAACTTGGTGGAAGGACACGCCCACAGCAGCACGTAAGTTGAGAACACCTCTTTTTTCCAAAAGAAATGAAAAATTGATTTCTTGCTCATTATTTATAAAATGTACAAAAATTTGATTGCATACTCCATGGGCGACGCTGTGGCATTCTCACATAAAAATGGAAAAAAGTGACCACGTTACGCAATATTATCAAAGTTTATCAAAATTTAATTGTTTTTTGTTTATAACGCGTAGAAACAAGCTTCAGAAACTCCATAACGTTAGCAAATTCTTAGCCTCTTTCAAATTTGGAATGCACCTACAAACGTCCGCCTGTTCGTGTGTCCAGTTTGTTTGCGCAGTTTTCTAGTATTTGTCGTAAACATTCTCCCTAATTACCTAAACTTTTCGAAGGACAAGCCTATAACGTCCACATGCCTATTCGACAAAATTGAAAATAGAAGAAATCAGCTGGGCCCACATTATATTATAGAGCACGAAAACTTTGTTCTTCTACTTCTTTTGTCTTTTTTAGGATAACGGTGATGGGTATAAAAGATTCCGTCCCGACCGAGTTTAATTTTCTTATTTGTTTTTTCTTTGCATTATAAACAAGTCAATACTCTGAGAGCGATAGTATAAAGAAGTGCGTAAGGGCGTAAAAATTTCGAACTAATTTCTTAATATAGTTTATGCCAATCGTTTGAATTACAAACGTCTGCTGAAATGTTGGCGTCAAATTTTAAAGTTGGTGTCAGTTCATTAGTGTATTGAAGGCATTTCAGGGGAATTTGAAAATCCTAAGAGAGAATGTAAATTCATACCAAGCACTATAAAAACCGTCATAGATATTAATAACAAATTTATAAACAACTATTAATATTATTATTGCATCGATGCAAATAACGTAAGCGTGTGGCATCTCATTCGAGAAGGAAATCAGCTAACAAAGCATATATGGAATTAATGGAAAAACAATGACAATCGAATGACATTTGCGTCATCCTCTTAATATAAGGGGCTAACATCAGCCGACATTGCTTGCCCGGGTTCTGGCTGTTGCTGCTGCGACTATCAAGTGATATCAAGATAATTAAGCGCACGGTCGTCTGACAGAAAGTACATAAAATCCTCCAATGAAATTGATCGCTCAAGGCTGGTTCAACGAATGATTTGGATAGGTTGCGAGAAAGTAGAATTAAGCTGAAGTAGAAGATCACTTGCACTTTGATGTACCATTGCCATCACGAATCAAGCTGGAACTTTATATAATAGAAGAAATAATAACAAGTAAGAAAGTTATACTCGGCTGCGACCGAAGAAAACTAAATTTTAACACTTTACAATATCGGGTGGGTGTGGCTTAGTGGAAATTTATGAGCAGCGAGCTCTCTGAGCTCTTATGAGCAACAGGAAAAAGATGCGGAAAGCAAAGATGTTCTCAGTTTTGTTTGCATAGACTAGGGTTTTTTAAGAACGCACACCTCCTATCTTAATCTGCTGTAGATTCTCAATAATGAGAAAACATCATTTTTTATTCCTTTTGAAAAACATGGGTGTTTCTAGGTTACGTGGTTCTGTGGGCTCTTTTGCAAATTTGTGAGCGGTATTTTAATTTTTACGAACTGGAGAATGTTTAGCACTGGGTACTACACAGCTGGGCAGAGAGACAGAGAGATAGATGTACAAGGGGACACACGTGGCTAGGTGCATTCCGAATTTGGCGCTGGTTAAGAATATATACTTTATGGGTTTTTTGAAGCTTGATTTTGCGCATTATAAAAATTTTAGGCAAATAAATTAAATTTTGATAATTATAATGCTGAATATGCCTGGACAAGTTTGTCTATTTTTGTACGGACACTATGGTAACGCCCATACAGATTTATCTGCTGCAGCTTATGAGTAAGGAGCAAAAAGCACTTCTTAATTCTTTTTACAAAATCAGAGGTGTTCGCATTTTGCATAGTACTGCAGGCATGTTTTTCGACAGATTTGGCCTATTTTCAATATCAATCTGTGTGCAAAAACTACTAATGTTTCTGTCAAATTTGAACTTGATAGCTTCATTTTTGCGGCCGTGAGAATGTTCACAACGGACGTTACAAAGTGGGACAGACGGACGTATTTAGATTGATTTTCAAGTTGATGCTTATCAAGCATATGTATGGTTTGCGCGGTCTTTGAAGCATCCTTCTGGGTGTTGCAAACGTTCGGACAAAATCAATACCTTTCATCCTTCGGGGTGGGTGCAATAAAAAAATTCTTTTCTTCCCCTATACAGCTTATGGCACAAGGGAACATTAAGTTTGTGAGCATATGTAAAACACTCTAAAGGGCTTAAAATTTTATTATACCAATGGATTTAAAATTACTTTCCGGGTCGATCTAAGATTATCTGCTTGTCCGTCCATTCTTTGTTCCTGCGTTCAATCAAAAGGCCACAATTTTGGAAATATTTTAATGAAATCTGGTACGCTGAAGTATTTAAGCCCAAAGGTGAACATTGTTGGAAGTCGCTCGGATGGGATAAATTTTTCGCTGCTTCCCATTTAAGGAGCTCTATTGAAAAGTCTTTATATGAGTAATTGTAAAGGGTATATAATATGATGGTCCATGACCACCTAGAGCGTTACTTATTTAAGTTGAGTTTCATTAAAGTTTCATAAACGGACAGGCGAATACGACGGCTTTGATGGAGAATCTTACCCATATCCACGCTTTGAACGTTCCTACATATTTTTGGTTGTTACAAAGGGAATTAGCCAAATTACTACGATATCATCCCTGTTTGGCGAATATACAAAAGTCTTTGTAATTCAAGGAGTGCTACTAGCTTAACATAAGTTTTCTTTTTCGAAATTTTTTGGGTTTATTAGATTACATTTTTTTTTATTGATTTATTATATTCTTGACTTTTTTTATTGAACAAAATTAATGTCTTTCTTCACCTTAAAGTCTTTCTTTATATTTCAAATTAAATGTACATAATACATTTGAAGATGGGTATAAAAATCTAATTTCTGCGAACTAAAGTTGCTGCGTTGTAACGTACAAATATTGATTGATTTACACTGCACAAAATATTTCGTATCGGTCCCACCGTCAACTCTTATACTTTTCTCTTTACCATATTGACACCTACAATCGAGGTAGAGCTTATGCATTTGCATTTTGTTTAAAATATTTGCATTCACTTTAAGATGTTTATAAATGTTTGTTTAATGGTTTAACCATTTCTTCTCGTTCTTTTAGGGGCTCATTTTTTTCTCCACTGCTCTATCTGTCCGTTACTGTCGTTCGGGTTTGTCTGCTGCCTGATGACTTGTGGGGCTATTCATTTAATTGAGATTATTTGTTTGTTCGAATCCTATTTTCTTTTTCGCTTAGTCGGCCATCGTTCCGTTCGCCTATATGCTGAACCGTCTATCCATGCGTCTTTTTCCACGTTCGCTTGTTCATCTGCCCTTTCGCATGTATACCTACATCCCAATCCATTCATGATATCTCAAAAACTTGCACAGAAACCCGATAGGAATATGTTTGTTTAAATTAGAGTTTGAGAATAGTTCAAAATCGGTTCACCGACAAATAAACATGGACATAAAAGAAGTGAGAGAGAGAAAGAATCATCAAAATATGAAAATTTCAAAATGTACGCCAGCACGTAAAGGGTATGTTAAGACAAAATTCGGGATGAATATGTGCTAAGACTGCTTGAAAAGTCGATGCCCAAGTTTTTTCAGCAGACGCCAGCAAAACCGCAGAGATAAGCACATGTAAGCAAATATATGTCCAATGAAATAATTCTATAAGTATTAAAGAGAATAAAATACACGTAAGCTCTTACATTACTACATTTTTCTCAAAATTCACGATGCTGATGTGAATAGGTCGCCTTCAAGCTGCACGTAGCTTTGGCATATCACACACATCTTGCGATTATTCAAATGGTGGTTTAGAAGCTAAAAGAGCCGTGTGTAAAAATCGTCGACTCGGCATATGCAACGCGTTTTGTGTTCCTTCATATGTTGTATTCATTAAAAATTGTTTAGCTTACCTTACAATCATCGCATTGATGTATGATTGAATAGACTTGTCGACAATCGAAGCGATACAAAATATTAGAAAGACCACAAGTAATGCGTGCAGCTAAGGCATCCAATTCCATTATATGATTAAGAAGTTGCTCGCATTCGTTCCCACCGCTAAGTGTGATATTTAATGCTAAAGTATGCAGTGCGCTGTAGACGTTACGTTCGCAACAATTTTTTAAACGCAATTGACGCAATTGCGGCAATAATTCACCGGGTGATTTTAGATTGCACAAGTGCTTGGGCATTGTTTTATCGCTATCGCCCAAGTATTCAAGGCACTGTTGTTGTTTTTGTTGTTTTCTTTTTCTTTCATTTTCATTAATTTTGTTTTTTTCTTCGTCTCCTTGTCCATAAAACACCGTTTGCTGTTTATAATCGCTACCATAGTCTTCAATAATTAATTGATTACTGTCAGGCATCCATTTAAAAGGTTGATCTCTTGTTTGACTGCTTAATGTATTAAAATTTCGCAGGCTACGCTTGTTGTTGTTATTATTATGGTTGTAATCCGAAATTAAACGATTGTATATCAATTCGTTACCATCATTGCCATCATATCTAATCGCTTTGACATTGGTTTTAAATATATCTTTGACGTTGTTATTATTATTATTATTGTTGTTGGTGTTTGCAAGTCTCCTCAATGGCATTGTATCAGCAACGATTGCGATTGGCGATGTAATTGCGTTTTTCACATTATATCTTTGCTTAAAATAGGCTGCATTTAACTCATTATGTTCTCGATTTGTGGTTATGTTTTTGATGTCGGTGCTACTGGTGGGGGCCGTGGCGTCGGTCGCGATGATGGTGGTGGCCGTTGCTCTTGCGGTTGAATCAAAGGCAGTTGAAGCGTTCATATGTGAAGCCGATAGCGTCATCGTTGTAGCTGCTGTTGTTAATGTTGTTATCTCGTTTTTAGCTTCTATTGCATTTGTTGCTCCAATGAGTTTATCTTCAATCTTTTGCATTAACACCTGATCCTTTGTTGAATTCCTTTTTTCTGTCCGATTAGAATTATTTTCCATATTAAAATTATGACTATTGCTAAAGTTTTTATTATAGTTTTTATGATGTGGATTGAACTTGAAATTTAGCGATTTTTTCCTTTCGTTATAATGCCTATTATTATTATTATTATTATTATTATTATTATTATTATGATTATTAAACGGTGTTGCCGCTGTTGCAGTTACCGGTTCTTTCGTTTTACTCCTTCGACTATTTCTTAATTTAATGTTAAAGTTATTTGCATAACTTACAGGTTTAGTTACTACTTTTTTATCGTTACGAAAATGATGATTATTGTGATTATTATTATTAAAGTTTTTGTTGTTGATCAAATTGTTATCATTGTTAGTATTATCATTGGTATTATTAACTTTAATATTATGGTTACTATTATTCAGTGGTAGGTCTTTACACGATTTGGGACAAGTTGGCGGGCCGGGACCCTCATCGACCCATGCCACAGACAGTGTACCAGTTGAGCACTCACCCTGAAATGAAATGCAAAAAAAAAACAAAATATTTATATAGTCAGCAAAATATTCGTGAGATATAAGGTTTAATAAAATGTTTTTCTCAACTCGATTGCTGTCACCCGTCATATATATGTGACATGATCTTTTCTTGCTGCAGTCCTGATTCATATATATGTGAGAGACGTTTTTGGACAACTTGCTATTTAAACGTCTTCGGGATTACACTGATGTAAGCCTCTAGTATTGCATTGTATTTCTAAGCTATTGAATTTTAATTATTTGTCAATTTCGATTTTCCTTTTTTTTTAAATACCGGAATAACTCCACCACAACACCCCCTCTCTCTTTTCTCTCACCTTCTCTCTCTTCGCACTTAAGTCTAATGTTTAACGTTCGGCTACCTTTAAGATAGTAGTATAGCGCAAAACTATAAGAAGTAACGCCTTAATTTTTACCATTTACTGCGTAGCTATTTCACATTGTTATAAATTAACTAAGCTAGCACTAACTAAAATTGAATTATCTTATGATCTTTACCGTCCACTCAACCGTACAAGTTATGAAACTTTGTGCGTAAATGATTTTTACCGGCTTAGCGCAACAAGCAACTTTAAGTTAGCTCACAAATAGTTGTAGGGCAATCTGAGGACACTGCTGCGAATGTCTGCTTAATAAGCAAAATGGTCACAGATCTGACGGAGTTTTAATATGAAATTCTAGTTAATGCCTCGCATTCGCATTTTTCTGCTAACCACTACGGTGTAGATTTCTTATGCGTTTGTAAGGTACGAAAATTCAAACTAAAAACTTATATACGATTGGTTTATAAAAGTTTGCGACATTTTTACTATCTCTAATATATATCAGTAAATGATATTCGTAATATATTGCATTTGTAAAATCGATAACAACGCTATTTCAACTTCTAAAACCGCGGCTGTCTATGATGTCACCAAAATATTAATATTCTGTTTATTTTGTGTTTGTGTACTTATGTTCAAAAGCACGGTTTATACTGTAATTTATTTATTTCTTTTTGTCTAATTTTGTACGAAAATATGAATTGCACTTTGATTTCTTTTCTTTATTTAATTTGCGCATTTTTAAAAAAAAAATGTTTTTTTTCAAAATGATAATGTATGAAAATGTGGTTTATATATCGATATTTAATTATTTTTTTATTCACATCAATAACAGCGTGGACGGGAAAATTCTCTCGTATTTTACAATCTACAAGTAATTTTACATGTCAGGTGAAGGTGGCCACATAGAAAGGGTCATATGTGGTCTTATTATGTAGCGTACCCCTTGTGGGATAGAAGACAACCACCTTCACAATACTCCATATCAATTAGTTATGAAGAACAGAGTGCGTGAAGTACAGGAAATATAGTGCGTTTGAGGCATTAGATTTGGTACGAGTTCAAGAAGAAAACAATGGCATGCTTGCTTGTAAAAGCTCACAACACATGTTGGCAAGTGAAGTTATAAATGTTACTACAGATTGTTTGGCACTTTGGTTTGTCTCAAAGAAGATCACCGATCTGGGCTATAATATTTTGCAGTCCGCATAATAATAATAACCCATGTCTAACCATTTTGTAACTACAAATGAACTCGGCATCCCCCACTGTTGAGCAGCACATAGAATATCGCCATGTTCGAATATTTTATGTAAAAATACGAGAGAGCTATAGCGCTAATCCCATACATATATACATATATATATTATCATGTGTACATACATGTGTACATATGGGTGTCTATCCCTAACGCAAATTCAGCCACATTAAGCAACACTTAAAGACAAAGCCTTAAACCATGACATTATAATTAAGGATTAACCAAAATGAAAATTATTTTAACAAGTAAGAAAAGTATACGCGCTCATGATGGAACCTTTTATACCCGTTACAGTGTCCCTAAAAAAAGGGAAAAGAACTGAATATTCATACTCTATAATATTGGGCTGGCGCGGCTGAAAATTTCTATTTTCAAAGTAAACGTGTAAATTGATGTGGCGTAAATGTCCTACTTTATGAGTAACAAGTAAAAATGCGGGGAGCAAAGATATTCATATTTTATGTTGCATAGGTTTGTGGGCGTTATAGGCCTGCTCTTTGACGGATTGAAGTTATTTTTAAATTCTTTTGCAAATTTTTAAAGCGATACCTTTACTTTTGCTTATGAGAAAATGTATGCCCAAATGCTACACAATTAGGTGAACGGACAGACGAAAATGTTTACGAATTTGAAAATGACCAAAAATTTATGTACTTTATTATTGTAACATGCCACCAAGCTCGGCTTGCGCTAAAGCAATTGCAACACGTGCAGTGACATGTTGGGCCGCATGACAATAAATAAAAAAAATAAAATTGTAATAAAAAACTGAAAATATAGAAAATAGAGTTTAAATTTAAATACATTTAAATACATTTGGAGGGCATGCAGATCGAAGAGCATCTGGTCCTTAAAACGGTGTACGTCCGTTGATGAAATCTGTTGTCCGTCGTCCGTTGGTCCGGTTCTAGTCGGTAACTGTTCAAGGTCTCCCCTTACCTCCCCTCACGCGTAACCCACAACGTGAAGTTTGCCTCTGCGCCTTATAAAGGTGTTGGAAAAATGAAATTTTCAATACCAACCTGCTTGCAAGACCTTCGGATGTTTCTACAAAGCTTGAAGGTGATAGCTTCATTATTGCGACCAAGCGACCAACACATATTACACAGATAGACCGACGGGTAAGCTTAGATTGATTCAGAATTTAACACTGATCAAGAATATATGTACTTTGAGAGGTCTCTGAAGCTTCTGGGAGCTTTCCCCTGCCCGACTTAACAGGGTGTGATTTGTTATAAAAGCATGTGCACGGATTAGATTTAAAGGTGATATTTGAGACAAAGGCGTTATTTAAAAGAAGTATAAGTTCATTTTATGTTATGTGTGAATATTTCAGAATTTATATTTGAATGGCTTGAAAATGTTGGTATAAGTGTGTATTACATCCAATTTACAGTTTTTAAATATTACTTTTCATGACCTAAAACGAATTATTATGTCGTTGAGGCAGCTGGACTTTCATCACTCTGAAAGTAATTATATTTACATTGAAAATATTGGGAACTGCTCATAGCATTCATTGAACTCATTGTTATTCTTAACTAACTAACTAAAAAAACAATGTATATAATAGTGCCTCTGAAGGTATAAGCTCTTAAAATATCATTATTGATATAATAATTACAACTATGGCATTGTGGCATAATTGCGATTGCATACACAGTTGCACCTAATACTTGTGTATTGAATTGCTGGGAGATGATATTTTCAGAAAAGAGCCAAAAATTGGCGAACATTTCGTTATCCATTGTACGCTTGTTATTGTCACAGTTTGCAAAGTTTCCATGAATGATTAGATGAAACCTAAATAGTTAAACAATCGTTCAAGTGACATAAAAAGAATTTAAGTTTTATGGATAGAAATGTTTAATATGAGATAGCGAAATTTTATAATTTTTTAATCTCTATAAGGTTTTAAGTCAAAAACTTTATTTTGTTTTTTTAAATTTGAATCTAAAAACAAAATATTTCTTAAATAATTTCTGAAACGAAAACAATGGAAAGAATGTTTTTTTTCTGCTTTGTTTCTTTTCATTTTGTATACTCTTTTTCTTCATCATCAACACTTGATGGACTCTTCACAATGAACGTGGAGTATGTACTTGTTGTGGCAATACAAGTAAAACACACTACATTTTCTAAGCAGATTTCAAAGGTCTTTTTCCTTGTTTTTCTTTTCTCATCTGTTTTTATATTCTTTTTTGTTTTTTTTTATGTATTTAAATATTTTTCGTTACTTGTTTAGAAGGACTGGAGCGGATAAGGTCGACTATTCTAGGCACAGACACCCTAAGAATTTTTTATTTACTCATTTGGTAGTAGATAGACGGGCAAGTGTTATTATTTTTACAAATCTTTTGTCGTAGGCATGTTAATTGTTGGAGGCGTTTGCGTAGCAAGACAGATCTAGTTGATGGAGGTATAAGCTTTTCAATCCATATTTGCTGGAATTGGTTTCAAGTTCATTATTCCACCATTAGAGAAAGTAATTTTTGTAGGTGATGGTACATGTTGATGTATACACATACATATGTAGATAAACATACATATATATACATTATTATGTATAAGGTATTTGTAATGTTGGATACACCTGGGCAATTTAACTTCAATATTGGTCATACTTCACACACGCATATATATAATAAATATATATAATATCATTTATATATATATATATATATATATATATATGCATACATTTGTATGTTTCCATACACAGTCGATATTCGTTGGAAACTCTTCACTTTTCTTAGGGCTCCGCAATAGCACCTTATGCATACAAATGGTGTGTGTATAGGCGCTTTTATGTTTCTCTCTTACATTAATTTTTCCTATTTAGAAAAAAAGGGGAATTAAATCTGAATTAAATCCATGTGGGTTTTGCTAACTGCGATGCTTTCGCACCGCCATCGGAAAGACGCCGCCTCTTTAAGCCCATGCTGATTGTAAAATTTCTTTCTTTTTCTTTCTTTAGGAAAAAACGAACTTTCTATGTTCAAAGCACATGTATAACTATCAGTTACGCCTCAAGAAACAAGTGAATGTGTGCACGTTTCAAAAGCCTTCAAGTTTCAATCTACCTATCTAAGCAATAAATTGAGAAGAAAGAAAACTAATTTTGGTTATATTAAAGCTTACATATAAGTTTGCAAGATTCTTAAAAGCTTCTTTTCTTTTCAGCTAATCGGTTATGAGCTAAAGGCTCTTCCAAAGGTACCACAGATTGTCGGAAACTTAGACGATAAACTACTTTCACTCCTTATCGGGGCCACCGAGCCAGCGTGTTACCTTGCGCGCGAGTACTTAGAACAAACGCGTATAATACATTTAATCTCGTATAAGCTCATTCTTCTTTGATGGCTATAAAAAAAGTAAATCGCTTTTTTGCT